GTGTGGACATTTTTCGGAGTAGAAAACAACTCCAGTTCCTCCACAGAGGTGAATGAGGAAAGGACCCTGTAAGCAACGTGAAGAAACACAGTTGGTTTGTTTTGTGTGTTTTTTGCAGAACCGGGGATTAAAATCAGGCCCTTGCCCTTGCCAGGGAAGTGCTTATTCTACTGAGCCATCTCCCCGGCCAACACAGTTGTTTTTATGTCTACAAATTTTGCTTAGTATTATTTGAGTAAAAACCTATATTTTCTACTGCTTCATCATGCTTTTTTTGTTGCAATGTCAGTGTTTTGTGTGGAAACGATGTTTGCAGGTAATGTTGTCTCCTACATTGGGGAATAGTCTATGTTGTCAAAATTTGACATAGCACTTTATTATATTATAGTGGCATTCCTGAATATTACTCCATAATTCTAACACATCTACAGTAAGAGCATCCACTAAATAAATGTCTGGGGGCAGTTAAGTTTGTTTCGTCTTTAGGAAATAATGCTGGGAGATGAATATCCTGGTCTCTACCCTGCCAATCCAAAAAAAAAAAAAAGATGTTTTATTGAGTCTGTAGGACCTTAAAGCCAGACATTAGAGCCAGTGTGGTGATGCACACCTAAACGCTTACCCTCTGGGAGACTGCAGCAGGAGGATTGCTAGTTAAACCCTGGGCAACTTGGTGACTTAGTGTGACCTTATCGCAAAACAAAAAATATGATGAAGGACTGAGCAAGTAGCTCAGTATGAAGTCCTGGGCTCACTGTCCAGTACCAGTACCACACACACAAACACACACATACACAAAATTTCCCTTTCTACATACTATTTTTGAACAGCAGAGGGCCCTCTCTCCTGTTTAGGTTGATTTGTTATATTAAAACTTAACTTTGTTCAATTATGCTAATTTACAAGATAGTTTCCCTGTTGAAAAGATGAAAGTTTTTGTATTTTAATCTAGAGTGAGTAGAATGGGTTAAACTTTTTAAAATGCCATTTTGATGTGACATTTGCTTTATATTCATTCAGTTGAAAAAGTGACTGGTAGTAAAGTCATTAATTACTAAGGGGTTTGTAACATGTTTGCTTTATTAATGGAAGGTAGATAGTGAGGTGGCATTTTTCAGAGAAAGCAGTATGATTTTTTCCTTGTGAGGTACCTAAAAAAATAGAAACATCTTTTTACAATGTACTTAATTTTAAAAACCAGCTAAAATTGAAGGAATTTTGAGTTTCCATTGAAGAACTCTGAGAAGTTTAAAGGTACAAACATCCAAAGACTGGGAAGACTTCTACAAATTGACTACTGATTATGTGCAAAGAGGATTAAAAAAAAAAAAAAAGCTTCCAGCTGTCTTCTACCCCCATACTTTTTCCTACTTTCAGAAGCAAGCAATTTTGGTACTTCTCAATGCTCATCGTTTTCTTGCATTGTACTTTACAGTGTTTCAATTTAAAAAGAGCTAAGCATGAAAAAAGTTCTCTGAGGCCAACACCATGGTGAACAACTCTAACAGCATCCCAGAAATGGAGCACTCATCCTTACATCACCTCTATTAATTTTAAGAGGTTACTGTTGATTTGATTGCTGATTGCCGCAGTTATCATTTGCATTGTACCGGGATTACAGTAACCTTTCCAATGGGGGAGTAGATGAAAGCAACAAAGTACAACCCAAATGTGGACCCGGACTACTTCAGGAAGATCAGGACTGTCAGTGTATTGTGGACTATATTAGGATCCTAACAGAAACAGATGTCATTCAAAAAGACTTAATTGTATCCAGGGCCCGTTTGTGGATGGCACACAGGGTTCAGGGAGCAAGCAGGTGGGGAGGCGCTCGAGTTTACTGGCAGCACGGTGCCACTGCCGTTGCTGGACCTGGTGGGTCAGTGCAACTGGACACCATGCTGGGATCTGGCGAGGGCTGGAGGCGTCACTTCCTGACAGGCCCTGAGCTCTAGGAACAGTCAGAACCACAGGGAACAGGGCAAACTAAGTAGTCGATATCATATTCTTCCCTCCTTTTTCTTCTCCATTCCACGGGGGTGCGTCTCAGGGATTGGGGTTGGGGCACAGATGATGTTCGCGCCGTACTCAGCCTCCCATCAGAGAGCACCCAGCTAAAGGAGGAGGCTGCATTGGGAATGAATAGCCAACCATCACAGAAATTAGTTTATGTTGGATACAAGCACACCGATTTTCTAGAATAATCTGGAGGAAACTGGCATTGTTATGATATTGACTCTTCTCTTTCCAGGATACATTTATCCATTCAAATACTGGGAGCATACCCATCAAAAATATTTTAAAAAATCTTGTAAGAGTGTTACATGTCTCTTGCTAGATTATAGCTTTTATGGACAATTTCCTGTTAATTAATCAGTTGGATTAACTATCTAAGTCAGCTGTTCAGATCTTATGATTTGATGTAGTTCCTACTTAGAATCTTTAAGTCGAATCTAACAGAAGACCTACAAAACCCTTATCCTTGGAGGAAGCCTAGGATGCAGCGAAGAAACACTCAAGATCAAAATTTCACAAGTGGTGCCCTGTCTAATGATAAGAGCCTGTCTCATGACAAGCAGAGGTGCCATGGTGGTGACTGGTAGAGATGCAACAGAGAAATGAAGGTTACATATGAGGAAGTTGAATCGCTAAAGGAACAGGCTATTGGATAATTATTCATGCATATATAATACATATATATGTATTTATATTAAATTATTTGAGCCGGATGAGCAGAAGTAGATCAAGGGTCGTTCCTCTAGTAAATACAGTGGGACTCAAACTGCAAAATAAATAGTTTCTTTTTGTTTGTTTACTGACCTGAGTGTTACAAAGATGACATCAATGCAGGTATGTGGGACGTCTATAACATTCAGGACTCTTTCTCGCTCCTTCCTCCCTTTCTCCTGAATACCTCAGTCTCCTTCTTTCTCTCCCTCTCAGTCTCTTCTTGTACCAAGATTGTGCTAAGGATATGAGGAGAGGTTAGGTTCAGGATGAATGTTGTGGGCGGAACTCAAGGGATTTGCTGATAGATTAAATTAGGATGTGAGAGACGGGGAGGAATCAAGGATGGTAACAGTGATTTTAGCTGGAAATCAAAAAGTGAATTGTGATGCCATTTTTTAGTTCAAGAAAATATCAGGAAATTTTTATAGGGGATGTGTTTATCCATGAAAAATACGTGCTTGTAAAGTATCTCATTTGCTCCAAGAAACACTGTCTGCTCCAGGACATTGACCAAACAGAGACATATCCTTGATTACATTGGTGGGTGGAGAAAAACATTTTGGGAGCTGGTGGTACACACCTCTGTTCCCAAAATTCTCAACAGACTAAGCGCCTGCTTAGGCAAGTGCAGGAACCAGGCTTCGATCCATGTCCCCCTCACTCTTTATCCCTGTCCCCACGGGAGCGTGACTGCAAAGACCTCTCACTTTTTCACCTCACCTGCATTTCTCTGCTCGTCCTTGCCTTTCCCTGCTCTCCTTTGCTCCACTGTGCACCCTCCATGACGGGGCCTTAGGCCTGTCTGTGTCCGAAGACCCAGGACACATAACTGTGGGCAAGAGGATGATTGCTAGCCTGCTGAGTTGGGCCAAGTCCCCTACCACTCATCCCCAACCCCCTCCAGCCTACAGCTCTCATTAAGCTCCCGCTTCCTCGGGCTCCCTTTCTTCAGTGAGGTCTTTGCTGTCCTACTCTGTGAAGACCCGGCCACCCATCAAGGCTTATATTCCAGCCTTTTTCTTTTAGTTGTATTCACTGCACTGTGCTTCCCACAGGCAGGAAAATTGCTGTTCCTTATCCGTACAGTAGGCACCAAAGTGGTGGAGTAGTACTTCCCTCCTAGTTTGTAAGAATATTGAAGACGCTCATTGATGTAAGCTTCATAGAAAGCTAAATACACTCAATATAAAGAATTATCAATGGGATAATTTGTATTCTTTGTGCTTTGTACTGTCTTCAAAATCTAGTGTGTATTTTACTCATTTCAGAAGAGCCCAGAGTAAGTGCTCAGCACCTACAGGGGGCTGGTGGGTGCCTTTGGACAGCACAGCTGGCTTTGAAGAAGGCAGGGACAGCAGATGTGAAGGGCAGCCACCCTCCAGGTCTCAGGGACAGTGCTTGGGGACACACATAGAAGGGCCATCCCCCATGGAGCTCAGGCTCAGACCTCCTGACACAGGCTTTGGCTCTGCTTGCTGATGGGAGGGACCCTGGCTGTGGAGTTGGGGGCCTGGCCAGCAGGGGACAACACTGTGGGTACTGAGCCTAAAGGGAGCCTCCTGTGTGGGGAGACTGGGAGGCCAGCTGTGGGAAGGCCATGGGGAGGGAGGCTGCCCTCGAGCAGGCACTGACTGCTGTTGGCTCTGCCATGGGTGGACGCCAGGAGAGGAAGCCCTGGGCCTGGAGGAATGGCCCCGCTTTACAGCATCTCCTCGGCGTACTTCTTGATGCGTGGTGCATGGCGCCTGGTGAAGCAGAATGTCTGGGGCTCCCGTGAGCACAGAGGAGGGCAGGAGGGCAGGTCTGGGGCGTGCTCTGGCCATGCTGTTGTCCCTGTGCCAGGGCTTCCTCAGCTCGATGACATCCTCCTCCTCTCCGAGGGGAGCAGCACTTTCTCTGGGGTGCTGCTAAGAAGTGCAGATGTTATTTATGGTGACTGGAGGGTGCCTGCCCTGCTTGCACACATTGGCACCCTGGGAAGTGGCCCAACAAATGAATTTTTTATCATAGAGAAGGGAGGTGGAGAGGAATAAACTTTGGGCACTAATTAGATTCAGATAAATTCCCAGGAATAAGTACAGTCAGTTTCACATCGGATGGACTTGGCAAATGATGCCTTAGTGGCTTATAATAGGATTTTCTGTGTACACAGTCATACAAGAGTAAGTATACTATGTTGGATGACGTGTGTGGTACAGTTCAGTGAGAGTGAACCATGGTTTGTGCTAACTGCTAAAAGTTTCATTTTCTTATATATTTTTAATGCAGGATAAACCGTTCAGCAAAGAAAGATTCAAGGCATCAGGAAGGTCTCGACCACAGTCGTCTATGGTAATATACCAATATGTCTTGCATTGCATTGCTTGTATTTAGTTATTTATTTATGTATTTGGTACAGGGTCTCACTACACAGCTTAGACTTGTAGTGATACTCCTGTTTTCAGCCTCCCCAATGCTGGCATTACAGGCGTATGCCATCATGCCTGGACTTGGTGACCAGTTTAGCACGCCCAGGGGTGGGATATATTACTTTTATAATAATATTGTTTACTAATCTTGCAGTTCTGCAACTTGACTATGCTACTGATTTTCTGATCTTAAATTTTATGTTCCCTTTCATTCTATTCTGATGAAGATGTTCTGTGAGGTGCGTGTCTCATGAGATGTCTGTGGTAATAAAGTGACTGTATCTGTAATTTCCTAGAATGTACAGAATACATAATACACACAATTCTTGTGTGTTGTGATTAAAAGAATGTGTGAAAGACCTCCACGGTGGGGCTGGAGGTGTGAGGGCTGGAGCTGGGCAGGGAGTGCTCATGCTGTGCTCGTGCTTTGTTGCAATGGTCTGTGACATGGAGAGGTCATCAGGCCTGGGATTCTTGGTGTGTGAACGTTGGCATGTGATGCTCCTGCAGGGCATGGCTTTTCCAGTTCTAAAACTGTGCTCGGAGCTCTTTCTAGGCATGTTTATTAACTATTTTTTTTTGTTTGCATTAATTTTGCTTTGTTAAATTGTTATTTGGACTTAAGAAAGACTGTCTAGGGCTGGTGAGATGGCTCAGTGGTCTAGAGCACCTACTTGGAACAAGCTTGGCAAAGCACAGGGACCGCGGTTCAATCCCCCAGCACCACATGCCAGCCAGCCCCGCCCCCTGGTGGGCTGAGCTGGCCACACACACACACACACACACACACACACACACAAATAAATAAATAAATTTAAAAAAAAAAAAGAAAGAAAGACTGTCTATGTTTCTTTGATCCTCACTTTGAGGAAAGGACTGTCTTGGAGCAGGGAGGTATGCAAGGCACAGTGGTGGTCCTGTTCAGAGAATTTGTACTTGCTGACGTAACACCTAGGCCTCGAGATCTTAGACACTAATGAAGATGCCCCTTGCCCACAAGAAGGACAGCATGGGCTGTGTGGGTCAGTAGTTCCCTGTGGAGTACAACTGCAGTGCATGTGGCTATGAGGATGCCTAAGCCCTTAACTCCTCCCAGCAGTGTGAATCACTCAGCTGGCAACAGAGGAAGGAGAAGAGTTGGGATGTGGAATCATTCGGAGTTTGGTGAGGAGGGCTCTGAAAATCAAGCTGAAGAAGACAGGCCCTCCCTGAGAGTCCTGGGGAGCAACATGGTGAGCCCTGTGCCTGAGAAAGGCCCAGCGACCTTCTGGCTCCCTCTGGCCTCCTGTTGTCCAGACTATTTTAGAAATCTGCTGATTCTCCTTGCTTCTCCTGTGTGGTATTCGCTGTCACTGGAACCATTTATGAAAAGCACTCTGTGTGTCCCTGCAGGATAAATAGGGAAACCATATAATTCACCAGCAAGGATGACTGTCACTGAGAGCACAGTGCCACCTATGGGAGGACAGCAGTGCCAACTGCGGCCATGTCTGGCAAGCTGGGATTTGAGGGCTGCAGTGGGTTCTTACTGCTGGCCAGGCCGATCTAGCCCAAAAACCATGTCCCCTTCACTCTTTATCCCTGTCCCCACAAAAGCATGACTGTGAAGACCTCTCACTTTTTCACCTCACCTGCATTTCTCTGCTCCTCCTTGCCTTTCCCTGCTCTACTTTGCTCCACTGTGCACCCTCCATGACGGGGGCCTTAGGCCTGTCTGTGACCGAAGACCCAGGACATGGGAGGGGCACATAACTGGGCAAGAGGATGATCGCTAGCCTGCCGAGTTGGGCCAAGTCCACTACCACTAATCCTCAATCCCCTCCAGCCTACAGCTCTCATTAAGCCCCCACTTCCTGGGGCTCCCTCTTCTTCCGTGAGGGCCTTGCTGTCCTGCTCTGTGAAGACATGGCTGCCCATCAAGGCTTATATTCCAGCCTTTTTCTTTTAGTTATGTTCACTGCACTGTGCTTCCCACAGGCAGGAAAATTGCTGTTCCTTATCCGTACAGTAGGCACCAAAGTGGTGGAGTAGTACTTCCCTCCTGGTTTGTAAGAATATTGAAGAAGCTCATTGATGTAAGCTTCGTAGAAAGCTAAATACACTCCATATAAAGAATTACCAGTGGGAGAGCTTCCAGCTTCCCTGAACCGGCGGGACCTACTGGTTCCAGCCCAGGCACACCATGGGTGAGACCCTCTTCCACCCCTTTGGAATGCCCTACACCACTCCATTCCACCTCCCCTACCATGCCTGCTGAGTATGAATTTCTGCCACGTTCCAGCAACCCCCAAACCCAGCCCTAGGCCAGGCCCGGTGAGTGTGTGGGAGAGCTTCCGGCTACCCTGCATCTGCGGGACTTACTACTGGTCCCAGCCCAGGTGCAGCATAGGTGAGACCCTCTTCCACCCCCTTGGGAAAACCCC